GCATAAAAAAAAAATCGCTGTCCATTCCTTATTATGGGTAATGCAGGATTCAGATCATCAACTGTATCCCCTGGACCCTGAAACCTAAACAGTACTATAGCTTGATCCTTAGTTACACCCCCGAGCCACATTTCCCTTATCCCACCATTCCTAATCCCTCATAAACCTTAATGCGACAACTGACCAACCCATCAGCCAGACAGTGCTACAAAGGGCCGTAGTCGATCCTACTTAATCGCGCATACATGCATAGATACGTACATCTGCGTACATATGTTCATACATAAATGAATGCGTGCATACATACAAGGCAGCTATATGCACCAAGAAGCTTAGCTCGGTATGTGAAGTTGGCTTTGCCGAACATTGGGCTTATTGTTTAGGGTCTAAGTAACTCCAAGATCATTCCTTTAGAGCTGTATACTATAGTATACCCCCAACCCTACTCTAATTGGTAGCGCCCCTCCAATATTTGTCTTCTTCGAACCTGAGACATCGCTTAGGGTCTAGGATCGGACTAAGTTTCATGTCATCAGCAAGGGGTTGAAAGGATATCTTAAAGCACCTATATAGGAACCCATGTAAGGACAAAGCACACAATATGCAGGGATATGGGCCCTTATGGACAGTCTACAAGTTACTGGGGTTTACGAGCCAGTATGGGGCGCGCATACTGTCCTTAGAACCAAAAGACAGGTGATAAACCTCCCCCCCCCCCCTCCCCCGCGCCGCTACCTTAATTAACCTAAACCCTAAACCCTAAACCCTAAACCCTAGGTTCAGGATCCTCCAGGCAGGGCAGCGTCACTGATGCGGTGTCTGCTTTGATGCTTGAGAAGCTTTGATCGGTGCCTGCACTGATCCTTGAAGACCCTTTGAAACCCATTGTAGACCCATGGCCCTAAACCCGTGGAACCCTATAGACCCCTCGTAGAACCCTAGAGGTCAAACGGTATAATCAGACCCCCAGTCGTGAATCCTTAACGCCAAACCCTAAAGCAAAGCAACTTCAAGCCGAGCAGGAGTAAAAACGAGGAACCTTCAGCACGAGCTAATTGCGGCTGGAGCTTCGGCACTTGATTGGTTCTCCCCTAACCTCGGGCGGTTCGATATGGCTTTTCTGCAGGGTTTTGTAGGGACGTCTTGGAGTTTTATTGGGGAGTGCTTTAATGATTAGAGGGTACTTTATAGTATAACCATAAAATGGATCCCTAGGGAATAATATCGGTATGCATGGACGGTTCTACCCATAGGCTCCTTAGTAGTTCCTTTTTGTGGTTTATATTGAGGATCCTACAAGGTAATCCCAAAAAGGAACTACTAAGGAACCTCTGGGTATAGTAGGAATCCCCCAAACCCTAAACCCTAATGCCCTAAACCCTAAACCCTAAACCCTAAGCCCTAAGCCCTAAACCCTAATGCCCTAAACCCAAACCCTAAAACCCTAAACCCTAATGCCCTAAACCTCTACAGTACAGGGCGTTCGGCTTCTGGGGTTCGGTGTTTACGGTTCAGGCCTTGCGGGTTCCTAGAGGGTTTAGGGTTTAGGGTGTA